GAGACCTCACGGTGTGCGTCTTGATAATGTTGTCGTTAATTTCCTCCAATATGCCCCGTTGGGAAGTTTCTGGTATTTCACTGATGCTTTAAAATCCTACCAAGGGCAGTAGCGAGTGTAGGTCATGTGGAAAATATTATACTTCTGCCATGCTTTTTTGAATAACAGTATAGTTAAGTAGAAGTTCAATTAAAGGTCAGATCTAAAAGTCCAAATGTCACGGATTATTCAGCAATTATCTCTGCATTCTGGCACTAACCTTCGAATGGGATGCAAATACCATCTTTTGTTGTAGCATTTCTTATTAAAAAGAGTCATTAATTTCCCATCCCACTCCCATGTTTCCAGCAAGGAGGAACCTATTTTATACTTCATAGCTAAGTATATTCACAGGCAGGCCCTCTCCTCGCCACAGGACCTTCTAATATTGCAACTATTTAAATGCACATGCATAGTGCAGCCACCCTATCGTGTGTCCAGGTACCTGGATTCGTGGCAATATTACCCACCGTCTGTATTGTTTCAGGGTTGGTAAATGCTTATTTTAATTATCTGCCTCATTGGCTTGCTATGCAATAGCTTCTTGTTACATTTTTTCAGCTCCTGAAACTACTCCTACAGTAAACACTTGTAAAATAAGAACATATTGTCTCTCTGTTCAAGTCCACAAAATAGACTAGAATAAGATCCCAACTCAATATTTCTCACTTTCACTTACAAAATACAGTTCCTAAATAAATTTTACTTAGTTAATCTTAACCACTTTAAACTTTTATTTGTTTTTTATATTCCTCAAGTTACTATTACAAATTTAATTTCAACTTTCAGTTTTGTGTTTTAAAACTACCTGAAAATGGACATACTCCACAAATGCAAGTTCGGCTGGCTAATAAGTATTGAACTGGTTAAAGCAGAAAGTTGAATATGAGGTTAAAAAATAATAATACAACAATAGAGCACCCACAGTTAATTTGATTTAAAGAAAAAAAAAAATTATTACAGCCTCCACCAGCCCGAGCCTGGAAGAACTAGATGGTGCCTGGCTACCACCATCGACCACTGACAGGGATCACAATAGAGGGTCCTGGACAGAGCGGGAGAAAAATGTAGAACAAAATTCAAATTCACAAAAAAGACCAGACTTACTGGTCTGGCAGAGACTGGAGGAACCCCTGAAACCATGGCCCCCGAATACCCTGCTGACTCAGAACTGAAGCCACCCGCTAAGGCCACTTTTCAGCCAAAGATTAGACAGGCCTGTGAAGTAAACAATAACACATGCAAGAATCGTGCTTCTTAGTTCAGTCAAGTATATGAGACCAAACGGACAACACCTACCGAAAAGCAAAGACAAGAAGGCAGGAAGGGACAGAAAAATGGTGGAATACACACGGAGAACCCAGAGTGGAAAGGGGAAAGAGGAGAGTGCTGACACATTGTGGGGATTGCAATCAATGTTACAAAACAGTTTATGTAGAAATTTTTGAATGAGAACTAATTTGCAGTGTAAACTTTCACCTAAAATACGATAAAATTAGAAAATATGTATTTATTAATATTTGATTAATATATACTTTCTCTAGTCTACGTTGTCTACTTGTGTTAAAACTATGAATACTTACAATTCATGCAATTTATTTGTGTGGTATTTCTCAACTGTATACGCAATTTTTAATTTTTAATAACTAGTCTTTTGAGAAATCAACAAACATGATTTGGCTATTTTGACAATCTCCAAACCACATCAAATAATTCTTATTTTTTTTACGTTTCCAGGTGGCCCAGTTCAAAAACCTTATTAAATGAGTAGAAGAGAAAGAAAGCTGCATAATCCTATAATATGAAAAAAACAAGTTACTTTCTTTCAAATCATTTTAGCAAATTTTTCACAAAAAAATTATTTCTAGTGAAAATATGACTAAAGTATTTTTAAGTAGTAAACAAGGAATAAAACTGGAATTAATTGTATAACATATAAATTAAATACATTTAACAGAATTTGAGATTAAAAATCGGCAAAAATGGAACTGGTTCTTAATAAAGGCTAAATCGTATACATATACAGTTTTTCACATATTCAGCTCTACTTGAATTTTCTTTTCCTTATTCAAATATTCTCCTGTTCTTTTCCTTCATTCTTTCAGTTAAGCTACAAGATCTTTGCCTTTGTCTCAAAAAAAGTAACTGATTAATGCTGATATACATATATATTTATGTATATACATACAGAATATACCAGTGTAATTTATGTATATGTGTAAAAATAAAAATACAAGAGAATTTTATGAGATTTTAACATTTATTTTATGATCCATAATTATGATATGTATGGTTGAAGAATTTTTTTTAAGGGTAAGATCATGACGTCTGTACCAATGTAACATAGAAATATGTCAAAGATTTTCTTTAACTCAGTAATTAATGAGGGAAGTAGTAAGGTATTTTAAAAACTGTTTCAAAGGAGAATCCAAAGATCGCGTAGATATAGGCAAACAGAAATGCTAAAATGAATTTGCCAGTAGATGCAAAAGTGGTCAATAGCCAAAGGAGCATAGTCAATGGCATTTTCTCCAGGGAAAATCATTTACATCTCAGTGGACAAGAAAGATTGCACTGCTCAGTTTTCTATGATTTACTAACAGACAATGAGAGTCACAGCCACCCACAGAAACAGTTAGCTAGGAAGGGTCTGCTAGACAACACCTAGTATTTCATTGAAAAGACACCTAATAATCTCTTCTGCCCAAATCAGTTTTCTAATTTTTCCTGACAATATCTTACAAATAAACTATTTCTTTTTTTTTCCAGTTCCCCTAGAGTAAAACAATCTGAATTAAAAAAAAAAAAACACTTTTACTGTATTACAGTATTACATATTTTGTTACTTCTTTAAAAATTTGAAACTTTACTTATAGAAAGGATATAAAATTTGAAAATTTCAAAAATTAAGTATAGCATAAATTTATTTTCTTCTGAATCATCACTGTACATTTTATTATGGTTTATGAATAGCAGTTTCTTCTCAATAATTGATTTTTGTGTCAGTAAATATATCTAAATGGATTTTAAAATGTAATTTTCTGGGTATTTTGATAGATACTCTATCCAGAGTTATTTGTATGATGATAGTATAAGAACAATCCTGTAAGACAACATACTGAAAAGCTTCTCATGACTATAAATTGAATTCAAGATATTAAGTTCTTTCCAATCTAGTTAAAAATGATTTCAGATTATGAGTGATTTGTTAAAAGTATGTCAGTATACTGACATATACACATAAAGTATAACATATATGCAAATTATATGTTAAATACATATTTTAAAAGTTCTAATTAATAACTAGAGTTTCTAAAATGTTTTTAATAGTGTTGTTAGGTGCCCTCAAGTCAGTTCCAACTGATAGCAACCCTATGTACAACAGAACGAAACACTGCCTGGTCCTGTGACATCCTCACAAGTAATATTTTTGATATTAATAATATTATTTTTATCTTATCTGAAGCCCATATTTTATCCTTGGATGAAAGGGAACTGTTCAAGAGAATTCCAGATTCTCACGGAATCCAGAAAGTCTAGAGCCATTGAGGCTAAAAGACCCTCAGAAACTATTGCCCTGAGGTAGTCTTTAAACTTTAAACTGAAACTGTCCTCTGAAGTCATCTTTAAACCAAATAATTTCCTTAATTAGTAAGAAAATTTGTGTTGAGCATTGTGGTTTTTTAAAGAATTACCTATGTGTGATCAAACTGTCAACAGGAAATCAAAAGTTTAGGTGAGAAATTATGCTCTAAGGCTGATCTTTGTTTATTTAACTTGATTTTGAAGAAATGTTGCATAAAATCCTGCATGTCCACAAGTTGTCTTATAACTCCTATTCTGACCCTGTTTCAATGATAATGTATAATTACTAGCTATAGAGTCATATAACCTGAGGTATATAAGCCTGTAAAAATTTACCTTCTACAAGCGAGCCTTCTCAACATTCTATTCAGACTATTCTTCAATGTGCAGATTCAATAAACTTTAATCAATTTCTATAATTGGCTTTACATTGGTTTTATTTCAATCCGACAAATTCTTTCTCTTAGTCAAATATGTGATAGATCCTACTGAAGATAAAAGTACTGCATCCATCAATTATACCCTTTTGCATAATCCAAAAGGAAGAATTGAACATGCTCACAAGCCTGTTTCTGTTCAATTCTTCAGTCAAATTATTTTAGTTACAGATGTAGAAAATGCAAAAAGCATGTATCTAAAGTAAAATGTTGGTGTTTTTATGATCTTTATTTTTTGGCTCTTAAAATGGATAGGCCAATGTATAACTTTTCTAGCTGCCTTGAGGTCAGAATATTATGAAGATTATTTTCTTCCTTTATAATATAATCAAAGATTTCCCCTCTAGCTTGCTTCTCTCTTAATTCTTTGCCAGCTATAGGAATCAAGAGATCAAAAGGATGTTTTTCCTAGGCAAATACTGCAGTGTTTTCCTTCAATTCTTATATAGATTTCTGTACCTTCCATGAAGAAAAGAAAAAATTTAAATGGGAATATATATGTAATAGTCAATGCTTAATTAAATTGAATCTAGTCAAATTTATACCTTGTTTGAAAGTCATAATCCTAACTACTTAACGTAATCATAACCACTTACCTTAGTCACAATCATAACAACTATTAGCCAGTTAGAAATAAAGAGCCAAGATTCATAAGTATGCACACATTTCAGAGCTTGCATTTTATAATTAGTGTCAGTCTTCATTTTAACCTAGTGATAACACACATCATGGCAAGGCAAGCTTTCAAGAAGTTAAAAATTCTTATTCTCAAAAAGAACCATGAGCAGGATTTAATTAAGGAAATTGAAAATTGCTATTCCCAATGTATAAACATTGTTCTTACTTATTGATTTTATTTCTGTTTGGCATATACATAATGGTATCTACCCTCCATAGGCATGCCAGCTGTACATAACAGTATGCATATTCCAGCCATACCTTGGTAAACAGCTTTAAATCCAGGGGAGCCAATGCTGTCGTCAGACTGTAGATGTAACCACATCTGGTTACTCATACTCACGATGAGATCAGGAACACTGGATCCAGTCAATCTGAAAGATGAGAAATGTTAAAATCATTACTGGAAGCCACAAGTACATCTATCTTAACTTAGTAGTGCTCCTAAAGTGAGATTATAATGAAGAGAATGGTATAGTTAAATAATATTTCTTCTGATTCCAACGTGAAACCAACTGTGTGTATATATGTGTGTATGTGTATATATGTGTGTGTGTGTGTCGTTCTAACAGAGTAGCCTTACCTTTGTGTAAGTAGCAAGACCCTCCTTCAAAACTCTAGAATGATTTGCAATTCATATTCATATTTAAACCTATATATTGTTGGCAAATGACAGTAATTATTCTATTCTACAACTTCAAATTTGTATCTTTTAGTCTAAGACTGCAGGGCCTCCTGGGGTGCGGGTTTTCAGGGTGAAAACTGGGACAGTCCTGGGAAACTCGGACCGTTGGTCACCGTATGTGACCAGGAGATACGACCTATTGCTGTAGAGTTACGTAAGCATAATACGACACCATGAAAATGAAAGCATCTCTCAGCTGAGAAACTGCACCACTTATTAACAAAATGCTCGGATTGTTTAGTCTGTAATCACATACTTTTACTTCAAAGCTTTTTAAAAATATGTATTACATTTAATCATACATTAAGAGAATAGGCAAAAGAAGAACAGCATGTACAGATGGAACAGCCTTGGCAGCATTTACTGAACTTTCTCTCTGTATGTTAACCTCCAGGTCAACCAAATGGAAGTTTCAATTTTCAAGGAATCATCATGTATCAACAAAACAATCACACAGAGGTTCCTGTCAGCCAGGGAAAACCAACAGTAAATTCATCGACTGAACTCCACATACTGACAGAAAAGCATGTTGAAATAGAAAAACTGCAAGGAAAAAAAAATCAATTCAACCAAAACAAATGTCTCTAATCAAACAGGAAGCTTTGCTTTCAGCAAAGTAGTTTCGGGAATATGAACACATGATTTGCCCCATCAGTCATGTTGTTTGTCTATCAACCCAGAGTTCTCACCTTAGGCAGTAGAATACCTGCTCTTCAAACGAAGATGAACAGCAGTTATTATATGTGAAGTAACTCGTGTAAAGTTACACACAAATTGAAAAAAAAGGAAGTATTTCAGAGAGTGAAGTGCAGTACCCAAATATATATTTCTTTCTGAAGATCTGTTTTTGCAAGAATGCTCTTTTTCATTTGTTTGTTTTGTTTGCTTTTTTGATTTGAGAGGTTTTTTTTCTTCTTTATGTACACATTTGATTGAAATGTGACATATTAAAATTACACACATCATAAATGTCTAGCTCCGTGGAATTTTACAAAGTGAATACACCCGTGAACTACCGTGTAGATCAACACATAGAATATTACCAGTACCCAGAAGCCTTTCCTGTGTCACCTCCCAGTCACTACTCTCTGCTTCCACCTTGCCAAAACATAGATTAGTTTGGTCTGTTTTTGTTTGACTTCATATAAATAAAATAATATTAGCTTAATTTTTCCTCTACATTATGTTTGTGAAATTTATCCATGTTTTTGTTTGTAGTTGTATTTCTATTAATTTATATGTAGATATAATACAGATGTAGATATAAATTAAAATAATTAAAATGCATTGTATGTATATATCACATTTTTTTATGCAATGTATCCTTGGTGGATATTTGGTGTGTTTCTGGTTTGGGGTTGTTAGAAAAAAATGCCATTATGCCCATTGTTCTGCATGTGATTTGTTGAGCATATGAATACATTTTGGAGGATATGTAACTCAAAGTAGAATTGTGGGAAAGATATCTATACATATATATACAGCTTCACTGAATTCTGGTGGCTCAGTGGTTAAGAGCTGACCTGCTAACCAAGAGGTCAGCAGTTTGAATCCACTAGCCGCTCCTTGGAAACCCTATGGGGAAGTTCTACTCTGTCCTATAGGGTCACTATGGGTGGGAATCAACTTGAAAGCAACAGTTTTTATTTTTGGATTTATGTATGTTTATGTGTGTTTCTGTGTGCTCACTTTTATTTTAAAGGTTATTTTTGCTGGGTATTGAATGCTTAGTACACTTACTTATTTTTCCCAACACTTCAAAGCTATCACTACATTGTCATTTCACTTCCTTTGCTTAAGTTGAGAATCATGTCGTCAGTCTTATGTTTATTTTTTCAAAATAATGTTTCTTTGATTATGACTGCTTTTAATATTTTTTCCTTGTCCTATTTTTCAACAGATTTATTATACTATGCCAGGGTGAGTTTATTTTTGCATTTATATTGACTGATTTGAAGACATTCTTGAATCTTGATTTTGTTGTCTGTTTTGAAAAATTCTCGGTAATACCGTCTTCAAATATTGCTTATGTTCCATGTTCTTCTCCTTTTCTTCCAGAATTCCAATTACACACATATTTTCTGAGTATACCATTCTTTTTTCTCTTTCTTTCTGCTTCAGTTTGTGCACTTTCTACTTCTAGTTCAACCCATATGTATTGAATTCTGATATTGTAGTTGTATTCTGATACCGTATTCCAGACACTGAATTTTTCAGTTCTCGATTTTCCATTTGATTCTTTATTAAAGATTTTGGTTTCTGCCAAAATTCTAGATCATTTCATCTGTTTTCTTAAATCATATTAATCATAGTGAACTACCAAAATCTCTGAGTGATAAGTACAATATCTCCATACTGTGGCATTTTTCTATTGTTTAGCTCTTGGTTTGGGGTCATTGGCTGCTGTTTCTGGCCATTTCAGGTATTTTTACATTAATTGCTAGATTTTATGTATAAATAATTGTGGAAACTCTGTATGTTATTATCTTCCTTCAGAAAGAACTTGATTTCCTTCTGGCAGTCATACGCTAGCAGACACTGGAACCAATCAAAGCTGTTTTTTCAGGCTAGTCTGCTTCCTATTTGCCCTTCCTTGTAGTCTGCATTCCTTCTTATAGCACACTCCAGAGATTATAATCTTGATAAGTAGATCTCCTCTTGGAAGAGATAGTCCCTGACGTCTATCTTTGTTTCCCTAGAATGGAGAGAATTCCTAAAATTTTGCTTAGCCTTTTAGACCATTAGCAGCAACTTGTTGTTTGGTTCCTTTGTTACTCATCTCAGGAAAATTAAGATTGAGCAAACACGTCAAGGACCAAAGACAATCAGATACTAAGTTCACTTCTCTGCAATTCTCTTTTCTTTGAAATCTTGGCCCCTTAAATTCTCACAGCTTTGATAGACCGGTTTAAGGACTCCAACATTCTATGTCACACAAAACATTCTGGGAGCTATAGATTTCTGTTTGACCATCATGCCCTAAGCTGGGAATCAACAAATGCCCCTAGGAGAAAATGGTTTGCAAAACGTGTGCTTTTTGTCTTCTAAAATCCTGGCTATAGGTAAGCTGGTGACACAGTGGTTAAGCACTTGGCTGTTAACCAAAAGGTTGGCAGATGGAACCCACCAGGCACTCCACAGGAGAAAAATGTTATGGTCTGCTTCTTTAAAGAGTTATAATCTTGACCCTAATACATGGCATAAAGAGAATATAAACCATAACTAACAACGCACAAACACCAGAAGGTAAACTAGATAACTGGGAGCTCCTGAAAATTAAACACTTAATGCTTATCAAAAGACTTCACCAAAGAGTAAAAAGAAAATCTACAGACTGGGAAAAAAATTTGGCTATGACATGTCTGACAAGGGTCTAATCTCTAAAATGTATAGAATATTTCAACACCTCAATAACAAAAAGACAAATAACCTAATTAAAAAATGGGCAAAGGATATGAACAATCACTTCACCAAAGACACTCAGGCAGCTAACAGACACGTGAGGAAATGCTCACGATCATTAGTCATTAGAGAAATGGAAATCAAAACTACATTGAGATACCATCTCACTCCAACCTTACTGGCACTAATCAAAAAAACAGAAAATAACCAATACTGGAGAGGTTGTGGAGAGATTGGAACTCTTATGCACTGCTGATGGGAATGTAAAATGGTACAACTACTATGGAAAATGATACGGTGACTTCTTAGAAAGCTAGAAAAAGAAATACCATACAAACCAGCAATTCCATTCCTAGGAATATATCCTAGAGAAATAAGAGTCGTCACATGAATAGACATATGCACACTCATGTTCATTGCAGCATTGTTCACAATAGCAAAAAGATGGAAACAACCTAAGTATCCATCAACAGATGAATGGATATACAAATTACAATACATAATACAGTGGAATACTATGCAACGATAAAGAACAATGATAAATCTGCAAAGCATCTCACAACATGGATGAATCTGGAGGGTATTATGCTGAGTGAAATAAGTCAATTTCAAAAAGATAAATATTGTATGAGACCACTGTTATAAAAACCCAAGAAAAGTTTTACAAACAGAAAAAAAAAAAGAAAAAAGTCTTCGATGGTTATCAGGGAGAGGAAGTGTGAGGAGGGGAACTCATTAACTAGATAGTAGACAAGTGTTAACTTTGGTGAAGGGAAAGACAACACACAATATAGGGGAAGTCAGTACAACTTAACCAAGGCAAAGTCATAGAAGCTTCCTAGACATATCCAAACACCTCAAGCGACTGAGTTATTGGAGTTGAGGGCTGGGGACCACTATCTAGGGGGAACAGCTAAGTCAATTGGAGTAACACAGTTCATAAAAAAAAATGTTCCACATCCTAATTTGGTGAGTAGCGTCTGTCATCTTAAAAGTTTGCGAGTGGCCATCTAAGATACATCTATTGGTCCCATCACATTTGGAGCAAAGGAGAATGAAGAAAACCAAAAACACAAGGACAATATTTGTCCAAAAGACTAATGGACCACATGAACCACAGCCTCCTCCAGCCTGAGCCCAGAAGAACTAGATGGTGCCCGTCTACCACCACCAACTGCTCTGACAGGGATCACAACAGAGGGTCCCACGCAGAGCAGGAGGAAAACGTAGAACAAAATTCAGATTTACAAAAAAGACCACACTTAGTCATCCGATAGAGACTGGAGG